TTTATAAAAATGATTTTATTTATTAGGTGCCCTAAACTTAGAAATTTCTTAGAAATTAAATTTCTTAAAAGAGGTAGGGATGCCTGGCTGGCTCAATTGGTGGAGCATGCAACTCTTGATCTTGGAATTGTGAGTTTGAGAGTATGAGCCCCACATTGGGGGTAGAGTTTACTTTGAAAAAAATCATAATAGGGATGCCTGGGTGACTCAGACAGTTAAGCGTCTGCCTTCAGCTTAGGTCATGATCCTGGGGTCCTGGGATAGAGTGCCACATCAGCCTCCTTGCTCACCAGGGAGCCTGCTTCTCCTTCTGCTTGCCACTCCCCCTGCTTGTGCTCTCTCTCTCCGACAAATAAATAAATAAAACCTTGAAAAAGAAAAAAATCATAATTTAAAAAAACCCAAAGTTATTTCATTTTTGTCATAGATTTTTTTTCCAACTTTTTCCTTCTTTACCTTCCTTTATTATTCATGCTTTCAACAAAACAAGTATTTTTAAAGCACTCACTGTGTTTGAGATACTAAATGTGTCACTTCGGGCCCATGGATGGGAAGGTAAGATAATTCATACAAGGTTAAGCCTCTAACTCTCTGTAAACTGAAGAGGAAAGAGGACATGTAAGTTAATAATAGGACAAGGTGAAGTGTGCAAGGTGTGCATTTGGTTCTCACAAAAGAAGTTTTATTGAATGGTAAAGGAGGTATGAATTATAATGGGGTAATGCAGAACAATAGAGAAAGGGAATTACCATGTATTGAAAGTTTACTATATGCCAGGATCCTCATAGGCACTTTACATACACCATTTCATGTATTTTCATTATTGAAAATTTATTTTCATTTATTTGGTTGGTAATACTCCCATTTTCAGGTGAGGAAATTGAACCTTAAGAAGGGTAAGTAACCTGCCCACAGGTACAAAGATAGGAAGGGGTAGAATAAGGCATCATGTATGAGTAACAATTGCTGCTCTTTGTTGCAACTTGAAAAGAGAATACAGATATATTTTCAGGATATAAAGCGATAGAGGTGCATTACAGAATGGTAGTTTTGATAGGACAGATGGAGGTGGAGGAGTGATCTGGGCACAGCATGGACAAAGACACAGAGACCAGACAAATGTATATAGTTTGATAGGAATGTGTGTGTGTGTAAAAAGTGCCCTTTTTAAAGTGGAAAAGAAGAGAGAGTTTAAAAATCTGCTCAGAGGTAGAAAATACCAGTGAAGCAGATCACTGAGGATGGGTCTCCATCTTGACCCAGCACTGCCCTGTAGTTCATTCCCTGTTTGTTTTCTCTTCTGCCTTCCACATTCCGATCTTATCCACAGAACTCAGACAGGTGAAGGACATCAAGTTCTGATCTCCCACATATGAATAGTTTTGACTTTTTCCCTTCAACACACACTTTTTGACCCACTATATGCTAAGCAGTGGGCTGTAAGGTGAATGTGCATATGCCAATTATATTAGGTCCTGCCTTGGTCCTTCCCTCCAAATCCCTGTTAAATTGGCCATTACTAGAGGATAGTAGGGGACATGTGGGCCAGTCCCTTTATATTTTCTTATACATGCAGAGTGGTTAAAGCACAGATTTTAGAATCAGACCCACATATGATGAAATGGGGTAAGAGAAAAGTGAAAATCCCAGCAGTAGAACCCATATTCTAAAGAAGCTAGTGCTCAGGTTGACAGCAACTCTATGCTGGTGGCTTTCTCAGTCTCTGTGCTTTTGCATGTAGTTCCTTAAGTATGTTGAGCACAGCCTTTGGCTGCTGAAGCCCCTGAAAGCACATGGTCTCTGCCCCGGTGTCTGGGAAGTCTTCAGCCTTTGAGGGCTACCTGATGCCTCCTAACCTTGAGTTTCTCTGACCCTCAGTCAGCTTTCATACTGGGTTGATTAACCTAGAGGAGATAGGAGAGTTGATGGTTAAAAGGAAGACTGTATGCCCCAAATAAGGGAGTCATAAAGTAATTGGCAATGAAAATGTTAGAGGAGCAGGACCCCTCAGGGAGTGAATGAAATAAGGATGCACTGAACTGGAAATTTTTTTTTTTTTTTTAAGATTTTATTTATTTGACAGAGCACAAGCAGAGGGAGAGAGAGGGAGAAGCAGGTTCCCTACTGAGCAAGGAGCCCGATATGGGACTCGATCCCAGGACCCTGGGATCATGACCTGGGCCGAAGGCAGCCGCTTAACCGACTGAGCCACCCAGTCGTCCCTGAACTGGAAATTTTAATTAAAAAGGGAAGATATGATCTATAGTGTGCAGGTTTCTCGTTGTCCTTGTCCTCAGGTCAGAGGCTAACATTCATGACATTTCTGTAGAGAGAAGACTTGGGGGAGGAGAGTCACCTTTGGGGTCATGAGTGAGTTCCTCTTTTTTTTTTAAGTTTATTTATTCATTTAATTAAGTAATCTCTACATCCAACATGGGGTTTGAAATCACAACCCTGAGATTAAGAGTCACATGCTTTTCGACTGAGCCCCTCAGGCACCACATGAGTGAGTTCCTTTTAGGACCTGCTTATTGCTCCTCAGAGCTAAGGGAGAGAACCCAGGCCAGGCCCAATACTCCTCCAACCCTACATCTGCCCTTCTGACCCATTGCCTAGACTGGAAGAGAATGCTAGCCCTGATGTAAGGTCAGAGATGATGGAACCCCAAGGATTCCCAACTGGATGTTGATGAGCCGGAATGCCACAGTGGCATGGGCCATTCTGATTGCGTGTAGGAACTTGTGGTTAATAAGAAATGTATTTGGTCTTTGTCCCTGGTTCCTGGCACAAAGCTCCCAAAACCCTTGGAATTTCCTAAGTGAGAGTAGGCGTTTTGTTGTTGTTGTTGCTGTTTGCCTAAGTGAGAGTAGTTTTTAAAACTCTTTTAAAAGTTATTCAAGGCTGAACTGGACACATAGCTTTGGCAATGACTGACCTCATTCTGGCCCCAAATCCCTCCCCCATTATCCCCTGCTGCAGGCCTTCACCTACTCCAGAATCAGAGAGTAATCCACTAATCTAGTCTCTACACAGGGAAATACTTAGGAGCTTAGTTTTCCTATTTAGCCTAGGGTGAGGGTGGGTGGTGATCTACTTGTATCTTATTCCCTGGTTCCAATAAGTGGGGTTCTGCCTGGATTTTTAGTAATGGGCACTCTGTATCATTCAATGACCCTGCCATGGAAATTATCTTAAATTCTAAGTGGATTTTCTGATCACCCAGTGTCTCTAGGGCCTCATGGATTCCTTACTGTATTACTGGAGTTTTATCTCATCAAATTCAAGGGGCTAGATCTTGCTTTGGAGTTATGCTTGTTAGAACCTCTGCCTACTACGGCTTTAAAAAAAAAAACAAACCCAGAAAACAGTTGCCTGAGGCCAAGTTCTGGCTGCTGATGGTAAAAGACTCCCTCCCCACTCCACCACAGCAGTGGCTATTGCTAACAGCTGAAGCCCCAGATTCCAACCTCCTGAAAGATCCCTACTCCCACTCTTATGCCACCCCCTCAACTATGACCTGGCCCCATGACCTTTCTTTCATCTTGCAGACTCTCCAAGCCCCTCCTGGGGAGGCACCACCCCACCACTACCAGCCAGTCTCTGCCTGACAAAGTTAGGAGTTTTCATCTTGTTTGTTTTCCTCTCCACTATATTCAGCCTTCTTCCACTCCACTTTTTAATGAGAACTGTGTTTGTCTAGGCTCCAGCTTCTCCAAATATGTGGATGAGCTGTTCATCTTCTGATGCAGTATCTCTGGTGCACTTCCTTTCCAAAAGGGGTAGAGGTTCTATCTGCTATTCCAGAGGTCATTTATGTGTAGATAATGGGATTTGAAGAAAAACCACTCATGGTTTGTTTGCTCTTTTCACAAGCTGGCCACCGAGTGAACTTTGGAATTGACTCTATGATACCTGTTGGTGTAAAACTCTGACCAAAGAGTGCTGGGTTACACCACCTTGGCCAGCGCTAGCCAGGAAACCCCATGTGAATGTGTCACCTAGTGCCACAAGGGTCAGGGTCTGCCTGCTTTGAAAACTTGCTCTGTCGTTGTTCCCTTAAACCACTGTGGGATTTTCCTCCCTTCTTTCATCACCAGACATCTAAAGACTGAAATGTGTTGTATCCCTTCCCTCATCACTCTCAATTCCAGCTCTGCAGGGCCAGGCTCTAGACCTTGGGCAGTTGCTCTCTCAAAGGCCACAGGGGTCTCCTCAGTGCAAACTTCACTGAATCTTTTCCTGTTTCCCTTTCCCCTGACCTCTCTGAGGAATATGGGTACAATATCCCTACCCACCCAATCCTGACATTTCTCCTTTCTGGTCTCCAGGACTCTAGGCCATCCTGTGTCTCCTTTTTATTTCTCAAGACTTTTCCTTGCTTCCTTCAGAGGCTTTGCTCTCTCTCCTCAAATATGGATGATCCCCAAGGTTTGATCTTATCTGTTTGCTCACACCCCTTCCCAGAGACCTTACTTACACGATATACTAACTCCCCCCTTCCCCACTGGAAGTAGATGGCTCTTAGGCCCAGATCCCTAGACCTGACCTCTGACCTTAACCCCACATTCTGTTCTGTGCCTTCCCTTCTTGAGTACCCTTCCCCCAAAGTCACATTTCTGGAAGCAAAGTCAACTTCCTACACCCTAAACTCACTCTCCTCCTGGATAGCCCTAATTCCATTATGTGTATGTGTGCCAATACCCTCCCATTTTCTAGACTCAGAATTTGGGAGTGACCTTTGATTATTCCTTTCCTCTTGTCTTTTACCTATATTATAGTAAGAGTGTTCATTATATCTTATAATATCAAGTACTACTTTTGTTTTTAAAAAAGTTTAAAAATATTTTCAGGAGTGTATTTCCCCACCATGATTACCCTTCACTAATAGTAGGCTTAATTATATACATTTAATTTATTACTGGGTCAGTGTCTCCTTTTTATATGATTGAATTATTAACATTTAAATATAACCATATATATTTCTTATTCTGACTGGGAAGGTGTCCACCTCTCTTCTCCTTGGCTTGCTACAAATACAGAGGCTATTTTCCAGCATGTCGTAGTGGCTGTGAGACTAGGTCTGACCAATGAGTTACAAGAAGTCCACTGATCCATCTATGAGGTAAGGCTTTAAATATATGATGACTTGATTTCTTAATCCAATTCCTATATTTTCTTATTAAAGGAACAGAATAATTTCTTCCCAGGAGGTCTACAGTTTAACCATATTTTCAGAGTGATCTACACCATAGTTTCTCTGAGGTCAGAGAGACAATATTACAGCCTACACATCTCTGTGGATTTCTAGGGAGGAAGTGACCACGCATGGTCTCAGAAGCACAGAAAGCAGATTAGGGGTTACTAAGGTATAGGGGTAGGAGTAAGGAGAAATAACTGCTTAATGGGTATGGATTTTCCTTTTGGAGTGATGAAAAGATTTTGAAATTGGATGGTGGTAGGGTTTGCACACATTGTGAATTTACTAAATGCCACTGATTGTTCACTTTTAAATGGTTAATTTTATGTTATATGAACTTCACCTCAATTTTTTTTCTTTTTTTTTTTAAAGATTTTATTTATTTATTTGAGAGAGAGAATGAGAGACAGAGAGCACGACAGGGAAGAG